GCGCCTGCGCTCTTCACACGCCTCCTGCAGGGCACATTTGGTAAAGTTCGTGCATGCAGGCTGCCGCCAAGCAGAGGGAGTAGCACAGCTAAGGAAAAGGGTAAAAAAAAAAATGGCGGACGGTGTTGTTTGGCGACCCCCGTGAAATGGTCGTGCGACCCCAAATGGGGTCGCGACCCACAGGTTGAGAACCGCTGATCTAATAGATTTTACATTGTTCTTTATACATGACTCAATAAGTAAATATTCTGGAAATACATGTGTTTTAATTTTTAATACAGTAAATATTGGTGACTATAGCCCATACAAACAAAAGCTCTTTTGGAGCCCTCCATAATTTTTAAAAGCGGGAAGGGGTCTTGAGTGCAAATGTTCAAAAAATACTCTTCTAATGAGACAATGTTCTCTTTCCCCAGAAAGGCGATTCAGTATCTGGAGGATCAGCTCATGAAACACAAACCTGTTGAGCGCTCAGAGGGAGGCCTTCTCCTCGGGCTTTATGTGCTCCTTCTCCCACTTGTCCTTGCTGGACTCCTTCTCTGGTCAAATTGGGGTGGGGTGGGGAAGTGTCAAGCCTCACCCAACTTCATCTGCATATCCACACCCCTTCTTCATGTCAGGAACCGGATTCTGATGCCAGACGAGGATGTTTATCTACTGCAGGAGTAGTCAACCTTTTTATACCTACTGCCCACTTTTGTATCTCTGTTAGTAGTAAAATTTTCTAACCGCCCACCAGTTCCACAGTAATGGTGATTTATAAAGTAGGGAAATAACTTTACTTTATAAAATTTATAAAGCAAGTTAAAGCATATAATAATAATTACTTACCAAATACTTTATGTCAGACTTTCGCTAAGTTTGGCAGAATAAATCTTTATAAAACAACTTACTGTAGTTAAATCTAACTTTTTATTTATACTTTGCATACATAGAAGCATGAAGTCTGATGAAATTACATTTAATTAATTAAATTATTAATGAGATCCCTGAGGCTGATGCTGCGAAACTAAATACTGGATATCTGGCTCAATTTTTGTAAGGAACAAACAAAGGTCTCCTCTTTCGGAAATACTCAGGTGGTTTCTTTCTTTGGTCATAATATGATTAACAGCACTAAAGCCTGATTCCACAATTGTTGAACTGTTGTCATGGGGAATTTTATGAAAACCTAATGAAAATGTTTTTAAATGCTATGAATTTTTTTTAAAAAGTCAATTAAATTAAAAAAAAAGGAAAGTGCTTCAGTATCGGACAAAACCCCTACCGCCCACCATGAAAGCTGGAACGCCCACTAGTGGGCGGTAGGGACCAGGTTGACTACCACTGATCTACTGTGATAACTCAGATTTTGGGCACAGCAGGGGAATTGCCAGAGCTTGCATTACATTGCACCAACTGTTACATCGAATTTGGCAAATAAAGTTAACTTTTGTTTATGTTAATAACCTGTACCGGGTGAATGTTAAATTTCTTTGCTTTCTGATGGTTTTGTAAGGTTTTTGCACTTAACCTCACAAACTTCTCTGTGCTACTCAGAAATTTCAAAGAGCCAAAAGAAACTCTTGAGCCGAGATTCCAGCAAAGAAAACAACTTTATTTTGGCCAAGATAGAGTTGGGTAACCGTCTCCCTCTTTGTGCCTGCTTAGAGGGACGAAGGCACACCCAGAAGAGATTTCTTCTATCTTTTATACTCTTTCAGAACAAAGAGATCCAGGCCTCTGTACCAGGGGCAAGGAAGCACAGAAAAACAAATTCCAAGATGATGAATCATATACATCAATCTAGGTTCTAACCATAACTCATTCCTCTCTCCCTCCTCCTTATTTCTTGGACCACTGGACTTACCTTGCTCTTTTCATATAAGTAGTCTCCTGAGCAATCTCCTGTATATTTGACATGAGACATTGCTTTTTCAATATACACGAAACACTTGCTTTTATGTAAATAATTTCCTGATATGAAGCACTTGTAAGGTTGCTTGCATGTAAGCAAATTTATATAAAATGGCTACAAACTAACACTACTAATGTCAAACTTAAACATAATAAAACTATAAGCATAATGAAATCATAAGTACAATAAGGTCCCTTCAGTTTGGTGGCTTCTCGTGTTAATGTTCAGAAGACCAAGATACTCTGATCATGCAGAAGGTCTCAGTTTCAACCTCTGTTAACTCTAGTCATGATGGGAAGAAAACCAACACACACATAAATACATATAAACACATGCCTGAAAATGTGGAAAGTTGATAGAAGCTTCAACTCCCCAAGAAGAAGGATCTATCCCAATGATACATTATAAGTTTTGACCTGCTGGCCCTCAGCATGGAAAAGGGAACTAGGATGTCTCCCCTGGGTGGAGTATGTGATGGGGTGTCTGGAGATTCTCAATCACCCAAGTCATGGTTGTCTCAAAGGTGCTTTTTCAAAAAACAGCTGGACTGTTCTTTTTTTGAGGAGGATGAAAAAAAATGTGTCGCTTCTCATCCAAGAAGCTTCATGAGTTGAGACTTGATGGGGGGGATGGAAGGATAGGTTCTGAAAAAAATGGGGTATGTGTGAAAGGATTGTATTTCTTTGCAGCCATCTTGTCCTTTTCACTCTCCCTGAGAGCTCTTGAGGCCATTTGGGGGTTTATGCTCTCAGCGTCACCTGAATCAGGGTGCAATTAGTTGTGGAATCTTCTTGGAAATGCTGCAAGGGCTGCATTGTAGACTGGAAATAGGTGGTGTCTTATTCCTCCCCCTCTGTTGAGAGAGGGCTGCTCAACTCTTAACATAGATGGATTCTTTTACCCCTCTTTCAAATCAGTGGTCCTCTCTATCCAGAATGTGGACTTTGCTCTCTTCAAAATGATGGGGTCTTCATACCATCAAAGAGGCTTAAGTACAGGCCTTCAGGGACTCCAAAGAGTGGGCTCAGAGGTGACATCATAGCTGTCTTCCAGTACTTGAAAAACTGTCACAGGGAAGAGGGTATTGATTTATTCTCCAAAGCACCAAAGGGCAGGACAGGCAATGGGTGGGTGCTCGTCAGGGATTGATTAGGTGGTTCACTTGATGCACAGATTATGCCTTTGATGACTCAGAAAGGAGCAAAACGAAAAAAAAACAGAAATCAGAACAAAAAAGGAAACCGAAATCGTTCTGTTGATTTAAACACTTGGTTGATTTGTAACTTGTAATTCCCCTTTGGCTGAGAAAATCCACTGCTGTAACCACAGCCATCTCTCTGAATGTAGTTTCTCCTCCTTCTCCAGCTGGGGCATCATTTTGGAAAACTGCTTTTTGCTGGCCTTTTTTTTTAAAACAAACAAAACAAAACTCTGAGCTGAGAGATCACTTTCGTTTCATCTGACTGCTGGAGGGACTTCTTCAAAATCACGATGCACCAAAGGGGGAGGAGGAGGAGGGACTAATTGGGCCACTTAGAAAACAAGATATAAAGGAGAGCAGAATCTTGGAAAGGCAGCCAGAATTTCTGTGTGTTTCGGCTTTCAATGAACATGGGTGGATTCCTAACAGGCCGTCAGTGTTCCACGTGCATGGAGAATCTAAAGGACCACAGTTTTTGGGACTTATTTAGGACACGGGTGAGAAAGTACTTTTGGCTCATCCCTGTCATTGTTATTGTGCTTACTTTATTGATCATTTACTGCTCATGGGCCCCACCAGAGCTTGACTGCAAGTGCCCTAAAGACCAAGCCAACATCTCCGAACTGGAGGCGGAAAACCTGAGGCTGAGGAAGCAGCTGGCCAAGATGGAAAAGGAGATGCAGAAGTTCAAAAGTGTTACGGGCCAGACTGGAAAAAAAACTTTGCAACTTTTGGAAAAGAAGCAAGAAGAAGCCGATGCCCTGAGCAAGGAATTGTCAGTTTCCAACCAGTCTCTTGTACTAACCAGACAGCTTCTGGAGAAGGAAAAGGAGAAAGCCCAAAGCTTGCAGAGTCAACTGGAGAATGCTCAGGAGCTCAGAGATTCCTGTCAGAAACAGCTGGTAAATGTGGTGGTGGGGGGAAGATATTCATTGTCAAGTAAGATTAGAATAAACAAACATGGTGTATTTTTGGGACCAGCAGAATGGCTTAGTTCAGGGGTGTCCATTGAGGGCCGCATCAGCATTGCAGTTGCCCTCTGGTGTGTGTGTGTGTGTGTGTGTGTGGCCATGTGGGTGCGGCCTACTGGGTGGGCGTGGATGGAGTGGGTGTGGCCTACTGGGTGGACATGGACAGCTCTACATCATTTGTGTCAAGGGTGCCTGTGGGGGCCTGGGCAGGAGTGGGACAGATCTGAGGGTCTCTGGCAGAAGGGGGTGGGACCGAGGCAAGCACCAAGGCATGGTCCATTTCTTCATTCCTCACAAAGGGTGACATCTCCCCAGCATGCACCCAGGGGGTGGGGCTGACGCGGCAGGGGCTGGTTCCTCGCTGTTTCCAGACGGCCTTGTAGAGCTAAGACTGAATGTGTTTCAGCATAGATGGCCACCACAAAATTGTACATTGGCTCCCAGCTGGCCTGGGCCAGGGCCAAGGCAGCGAGGGCTGTTCCCTCACTGTTTCCAGGATGGCTTCGCGGGCCACATGAAACTACTTCGTGAGCCGCATCCGGCTCCCGGACCTTGTGTTTGACATTTCTGGTTTAGTTTGTTCCATTTAGCTGGATTCTATTGGCTTTCTTCGGACAGCTACCATTAAATAGGCAGAAGTGTTCTTCCTGCCAAGGTGCCATGGCTTTTCATATTCTTCTTACTGAACCACCTGGCAGGTCCTTGCTGGAGTACATGTCAGTGTGCCATTGGGCTGCCCTCCTCCATTGTTCCAACCTGGCAACTTTTCGATCAAGGGTCCCCAACCTCCAGGTTGTGGCCCACTACCAGTCCGTTTGGAACCAGGCTGCACAAGTGGCGGGCACTTAGCTCACACACACAGCTCCACTCAGGTGAGCAGTGGATGCTTGTGCTCAAGAACCATTCCCCTCTCCCTTCCCCCACAGCAGGCCCCCAAGCTGGAAAGTTTGGGGACCACTGTTCTTGATGGTCTGGGGCTGCTACTTCAAAATCCCCTTGTACAGGTAGTTCTCGACTTACAACCATTCATTTAATGACGGTTCAAAGTTAAAACAGCACTGAAAAAAGTGTCTTACGGCCGTCTTTCACACTTATGACTATTTCAGCATCCCCATGGTCACGTAATCAAAATTTGGACGTTTGGCAACTGGCATGTACTTATGACAGTGGCAGTGCCCTGGGGTCACATCATCACCTTTTGCCACCTTCTGACAAGCAAAGTCAATTGGGGAAGCCAAATTCACTTAAGAGTTGTGTTACTAATTTAACATTTGCAGTGATTCACTTAACAACTATAGCAAGAAAGGTTGTAAAATGGGGCAAAACTCACTGGACAACTATCTCACTTAGAACAGAATTTTTGGGCTCAGTTGTGGACGTAAGTCGAGGACTAGTTGTATTGGAGTTCTGGGCATTGCCATTCCAACATATATGCAAAGTGCCAGCTTGGAGAATGCTCTTGAATTTGTCACCTGAATTTGAGAACACACTGCTTTGCCAAATTTTGTGAGTAAATTGTTCGAAAACAGTCTGTGAATATCTGTTTAGGTTCAGGTTTATGAATGAATGAAAAACATTAATATATATAGAAGAATTTGCAGACTGCATAAGGTTTTTGGCTGAACTTACATGAGCTTCAGAAATCTTGGAACTGATCCGTAAGCTGCATCTTTTTTCTTATTTTACATGCTTCATGTGTACAGTATTACATGGAGAATTACATGGAATGAAAACGTTTTGTTTTTAAATATAATTTCCAAATAATTTGGAAAGAAAAACTATTTGGCAACTGTGAGACACAATCATAGCATATTAGAATGATAGAAATAAGCATTGGAAGATACCAAAAAAATCTATCCAGCCAATTCAATAGGTATATGCAATTCTGAGATCGTGGCTATCATGGCATTTATTTCCTATTTTAGACATCTAACTGATTACCATTTGATGCACAATATTTATTTATTCATGTTGTTTGCTAATAAGTAGAGCAAAATACTCATTTTAGAATCATGTGATCATTCCATTTTGCATTGGTTTTCTTTCCTCCATTAGAACACATTGGAAGAAAAACTCAAGTCTTCAGATAGTAAAGCTGAAGAATACAAAGGTAAGGGACAACCATGTGGCTGTCCTGATGCAGGACTTTCTCTACTTCCAGGTTAAACAACTTTCCACTCATCCTTGAGTTGGCAGAAAACTGTACAGCATTACTATAAGTAATAGTTAATGCAGTATTTCTCAACATTGGCAACTCTAAGATGTGTGGATTTCAAGACTTGAAGTCCAGACATCTTATAGTTGCCAGGGTTGAGAAATACTGATTTAATGTCTCTGGTTTTGCTGCTTTCCATCTTTCTGAATGTCACCAGACAATGGGAGACCACCTGCAGTTCACAACTGCAATGTGAGATGGCCATGGATTGCTGAGTTTTGGCAAATGGTTGAATTTGCTAATCCTGCTTTACTGCCCACAGCAAAACAAGAGAGGACAGGTTTGTTTGCCTGTAGACCTGCTGTAGGCCTGCTCTGCACCCAGGCCTGCTCTGCACTGAACTTCATGTCAAAACTTGCCAGTTTAGCAATAGCAATAGCACTTGGACTTATATATATATCGCCCCATAGTACTTTACAGCCCTCTCTAAGCAGTTTACAGAGTCAGCATATTGCCCCCAACAATCTGGGTCCTCATTTTACCAACCTTGGAAGGATGGAATTCTGAATCAACCTTGAGCTAGTCAGGATCAAACTCCAGGCTGTGGGCATTACTGCATTTATTTATTTATTTATTTATTTATTATTTGAATTTATATCCCGCCCTTCTCCTTGCGGACTCAGGGCGGCTGACAATCAATTAAAAACACCACTAACAATCACAAGTTAAAATTAATTAAAATGAAATATTTAAATTGTCTAATTAAAAAGTAATTAAAAACCCTCTAAAAAACCCCTCTTAAAAATTATCCTAGNGAAGCCCGACTGGAGGGGGTCCAGATAATCTGTTTCCTCCAGGTGCCGAGGGAATTGCCGTGCAACCACACTCTCAACAACCTTCGCCACAAAGCGAAGGTTGGAGACCGGGCGATAGTTAGCCAATACATCTGGATCCAGGGAAGGCTTCTTCAGGAGGGGCCTCACCACCGCCTCCTTTAAGGTCGCGGGGAAGACATTCTAACCACTGCGCCATCAAGTGTACTCACTTATTTCTACAAGCTCTAAAGTGGCAAGTTTATACAGATGGTTAGATCCATGCCTTTCTGCTTTTATCAGCTTTTCAGGAGAATATAGGTTTAGCACTCTTTATTTCTGCAAACCTGCTTCAATAGCCAAACTTGCCAATAGGCAGTTTTAAAAGTGCATGAAGCCCAGGTCCACTTACTCTGGTGTTCTTTAGCATGACTTAGCACTTCCCAGGGTTCTTTCAAAAGTCAGCAATTTTGAAAAGCTGTCTCATGACATGGGCTGGGGATCAGGTGAAGGCAACATGAATGACATAGCAAAGGAATAATGTAGCTAGAGGGCTTCCAGCATGGTAAGATGGGAGAAGGAAAAGATCCTTCATGCCAACAGGCTTGGGCTTAAACTGGGTGAAGCAATCTATAGTCCCCATGTTAGCCTGCACTGCCAATAGATGGAGTGCTGGGAACACAAGTAGTGCAGCAAGAATGGATTCGCCCTATGCCTTGCAGGTATGTATAAGTGGAAGTGAAATACCATCTGGGTAACATCATGTTTTTCTATTCCTTTTTAGATAAAACAGTGAAGCTTCAGTTGCAGATAGAACAAGAACAGAGAAACCAAGATAGTTTTATAAAGGAAAGGTAACAAACAGAATTTTGCTTGTTGGTGGGAATCATAGGTCCTTCATATCCCGCATCCAGAAACAGCCAGCCAGATGTTCCTAGGGAAAATCACCTTTTCCTAGAGCCCAGTCCTTAAAGTTAAGAACAAAACAAAGGCACTGGTTTTAGACCAATGGATGCCATCCTGCTCAGCATCCATTTCATACAATGGTCAGCCAAACACTTGAAAAACCACATTTCAACTAATGTATATTTTGAAATAGATTTATACAGCTGCCATTCTTCCTAAAAGTTATTCTGGGACATTCATTTAGTTCAGCATTTCTCAGCCTTGGTAACTTTTATGTGTGGATTTCAACTCCCAGCATCATGCTGCCTAAGGAATTCTGGGAATTGAAGTCCACACATCTAGAAGATTGAGAAACATTGATCTAGCTCAGCATTTTCAATCTGCTGATACAGCTACCTAATTAGGGATTTCAGAATAAGGAATTTCATGAAGTTTCTTCTTTATGACTAGCTGATTTTTTATCAACTAGGCAAGAAAAATCAAATGTACAATTATAGTATAGGGGGTACCTTGCTCAATAGTAGTAACTGTGAGAGGGACCTCGGAGTCCTAGTGGACAATCACTTAGATATGAGCTAGCAGTGTGCTGCAGCTGCCAAAAAAGCCAACACAGTGCTAGGCTGCATTAACAGAGAGATAGAACCAAGATCACGTGAAGTATTAATACCACTCTACAATGCCTTGGTAAGGCCACACTTGGAATACTGCATCCAATTTTGGTCACCACGAAGTAAAAAAGATGTTGAGACTCTAGTCTAGAAAGAGTACAGAGAAGAGCAACAAAGATGATTAGGGGACTGGAGGCTAAAACATATAAGGAAAGGCTGCTGGAATTGGATATGTCTAGTTTAAGGAAGAGGAGGACGAGGGGGGACATGACAGCCGTGTTCCAATATCTCAGGGGCTGCCACAAAGAAGAGGGAGTCAAGCTATTTTCCAAGGCGCCTGAAGGCAGGACAAGAAGCAACGGATGGAAACTAATCAAGGAGAGAAGCAACCTAGAACTAAGGAGAAACTTCCTGACAGTGAGAACAATTAACCAGTGGAACAACCTGCCTCCAGAAGTGGTGAATGCTCCAACACTGGAAGTTTTTAAGAAGAGACTGGACAGCCATTTGTCTGAAATGGTATAGGGTTTCCTGCCTGAACAGGGGGTTGGACTAGATGACCTCCAAGGTCCCTTCCAACTTTATTATTATTATAAATAGGAATGGCATGGCATGAATAATGGAGTTGCCCTCTCTGTGCCAGAGTAAAAACTAAGCAGAGTAAAAACTCACAGTATTTACTAAGTGGAGGTGGACTTAATTGTACGTATCTTGCTTAGTAGTTCCTAATAGATTTTCCCTCCATGGAAGTGGAGAAATTTCTTCCAACACCCTGCTTCTTTTCCAGGGTAGACCACAGGCCATGATGACAATATAAATGATTCTACTTTTGGGTCCTCATCGGCTGGGATTAGATTCCACAGTTCATTCTCACATGGCTAAACTTATTAAAAAGAAAAAGGACTATTCCTGGGTCCAGTATTTCCTTTGATCTTCCAAACTTTCCCTAACATTAAAGCAACATCAGTTAGGACTATGCAGAGTTTCAGATCTGATTTAAAAAAGTGCTTTGGGGCATATGAACATCCCAGCATTCTGCAATCCATTAAAGTAGATGCTTTTTTCCTGAAGTCCTGTTGAAGCTTGGCTGCATGAGTATTAGAGAAACAGGTGTCATTACTTTCAAAAACTACAACCAGGACTCTGTTCATGCTTGGAAACACTTTTCTGGAAACAAAGCTCAACCCCCAGCCTAAACTTGCAGCCATAAAGATCTGGCTCTCTACCCAGGCACAGGTACAGAATGACTGAGGCACCAGCTTTTTATGGTGTATGAATTTATACTTTGATTGATTGTTGTGAGCCACCCAGAGTTGTGTTTAAGATGGGAGTCCTTACAAATCTTTAAAATAAATAATAAATAAATGATAAAATGAACTCTCATTCCTCAACTGGGCAATTCCCTATGTTTTGAGATGGCATCTCCCAGAATTCCATGCCTTCAACCCTAGAGGCAATTCTGGCACATGGAGAGCCCAACTACAGGAAAATGGATTAAAGGAAATAATTATCACCCTACTTTGCTTGAGCAAATTTAATAGGTCAGAATATAATCCTACTAATGCAGTTGTAAGAGGACACGAAAGCTCTGTGGTTAAAGACACTGAGCTTGTCAGCTGAAAACCCAGCTTGTCAGTCTGGGTTCAAGACCTGAGCGCCACATGAAGGGATGAGCTCCTGTTCCTTGCTGCATCTCCTGCCCACCTACGTAGCAGTTCGAAAGCGTGCAAATGCGAGTACATAATAGGTACCACTTCAGTGGGAAGGTAACAGCATTCCATGCACCTGGGTGTATAACCATGTTGGCCACATGACCATGGAAATGTCTTTGGACAACGTGGCTCCCTCAGCTAAGAAACAGAGATGAGCTTTGCCTCCCTAGAGTTGGACACAACTGGAAAGGGGAAATCTTTACCTTTAATGCAGCTGTATAGGTTGCATGAGAGAATTAATGGTTGGAAGGCTCTTTCACACAGAGGGCTCTGTGGCTCCATATCCTAATCAATGCTGCACATTCAAATGATGTTGTCCTCATTGAACCTACAAGCCTATTCTGGTCTGGCTTAAGCTGTCCCAAATGACAGTTCACCCAACTTCCACCTGGCTTGGAAGGTGGGCAGCTTTTCACTGACAGAGGTTCTCTCGTAACACCCATCTCCAAATCTCCCTTGGCAGAGAACCAATGGACAATTGCACCAGATAATGAATCTTTTTGCAAACAGCCAGAGGCACACTGGCTCTTTGCCATGCTAAAAAAACCAAACAAATGTGACTGTAGAGTGGAGGGAGTCTTGGCCAAAGCCCATTTTCAGTGCCCCTTTATTAATTGGGCAGTGGGAACTGGAAGAGCAGAAATCGGCCATTCTTGCAACAACAGTTGAAGGTCACCTCTGAGGGTTTGGGGAGATTTGAGGGGGTGGGGTAGAGAGGTAATAGTGGTTGTGCAAAAGTGTCCTTAATTTGCACATCCCCTTGCAAGATCAACATCTGCTCCAAATTATGGTGCAGCTGCTCAATTTAGACTACAAATTCAGTTTTTTCAAACATGTGGACTTCAACTCCCAGAATTCCACAGCCAGCATGAATTCTGGGGATTGAAGTCTTCGCATCTTAAAGTTGCCAAGTTTGAAAAGCACTAGTTTAGACCAGGGGTCCCCAACCCCCGGTTCGTGGACCAGTACCGGGCCGCGGCATCCTGCAACCAGTCAAACAAGCAAAGCCCCATCCGCTAGATCAGCGGTTCTCAACCTATGGGTCGCGACCCCATTTGGGGTCGATCGACCATTTCACGGGGGTCGCCAAGCAAGGCTGTCCGCCATTTTTTTCCCCTTTTCCGGCGGGTGCCTTACCTCCCTTGGGCTGGGCCAGCTGGTGGTCGGCCTGCTCCATCTCTGCCGCTTGCCAGCTACGCCTCGGCCGGCGCAGGGGGCG